AAGGATAGATTTGTACATGCGTATTATCCCAAGCCTTCAGGTTTACATCTATTATTTGGTCAGTATATCTGATTTAGGTGGTTTTAAACGTAATAAAAGTAAAAAAACTAGCATTGTCCAAACAAGTACGCCATGCCCTGTCGCCATCCTCAATGTCTCAGGGTCTTTTGATTTGAGGTCCTTGGTCCATCAAAATGAAAATAAGGTCAATGTCAAAGGCCAAGGTCATGTTATATATTTTGTTTTTTGCTTATTATCACTTATCATAAGAAACCGTAGAAGGTAGCGACAAATAACTTTTACTAAATTGCATTAAATTCATGTTAAAGTAACAAGAACGTTATATTTTTAAAATCAGTTTAAAGAAAGGTTTACATAAAACCGAATGTATAATTTTGTAAACCGGAAGTACTTACTTGTCTCCTTTATTTTTAGCAAAAGTATACAGAAACCATATATTTTTTAGAAACAACGTAAATTAAGCTAAAATGTATTTTCTGACACAAGAATTGACATTTTAAACGGACAGTGCATATTTTTCGATTAAAATATGTGCTTTTTGTGGTGGAAAGACTTTTAATTGTTCTCTGAACAAATGATGTTTATATTTTTTTTTATCTTTGGTATTTCATTCAATCTATACCGAAGTTAAGAAAAACTGAACATCATGTACAAACTATTACCTTCCAAGGGGGATCGGGGTGCCTATTATTTTGAAAGTATTTTTGGTACGCTAATAATATAATTGAAATCATTTTTATTTTCAGGAAAGTAGTGTTGATTATTAAATTATTATTTTTTTGAAATTTTGCCCCCCCCCCCCCCCCTAGACTTTCCGCTAATTCCACGATCCCGAAACTGATATTCATTATTAGAAAATTGTAAGCCGTGATAACACTCTTAGCATCTAAATAGAAACTGTATTAATTTTTTTCTATGAACAGAAATGTCAGTGCCAGTAATTTTGAGAATAAAAATAACAAACTACAAACTTTTAGACATCCAGCTTCCCCAGAACTTCAGTGTAAATGCAAGACTATTAGAATCCTTCGTGTGATATATATGTATCATCTTAAAATGTGATGCTTTGTTATGAAAGTGCCTGTCTGAACTTAAAATGATACTCTTTTAGTGGTCAACGTGCAACATATTGCAAGTCATAAATCCTAATCCATACCCAACAATCTCGTTTTTAAAGGTTGAACTGCGATCAGCTATTGAACTAATGAATAATATACTACTCGAATATGGATGATACCCTTGCATTTGGACATTCAGAACATAGCTGAAACATTCTTCTGATTGTTAACCAAACAATTTAGGATGGTTTTATATGGTCGATGTTTGGTTCAATTTTCTTACAGATAATGATAATTGAACGAATGAATGAGTGTGTTCTTCCGGTTTTCCTCGTTTATCTGAAAGCTAATGACAAACTGTTTTCATTTCATCTCTGACAGTTTAATTCTCATATAATATTTAGATCTAAAACTGAAGAAAATATATCACCACTGATTATTTAATGAATTATTTCACGTGTAGGGTTAGAATCTGATATTTTCAAAACCTAATTGAATTGAATATTTAAGAGTCTTAATAATACCCATTACGTTTAAATAATATTTTGGTGCATGTATATCCATCAAAATGAAATAACACTTTTAAATATTTAGATGCTATATTGGCTCTCAATAATGACGACTTCACTATGTACACTAAAGAGATTTATCCTCCTGAACTGATTTTAAATAAAACTAATATTAACAATGAACACTGTCCTTTCCTGGATCTTGACATCTGTATCTCTCACGGGAAGCTTAATACTACATTTACGATAAAAGAGATGATTTTTCATTTCATATTGTTAATAATCCATTTTTAGATGGTGATGTTCCCTTGGCACCATCTAATGGTGTTTATATATCTCAGCTTGTTCGATTCGCTCGTGTACGTAATAATGTATTTGATTTTAACGAAAGAAATCTCTGTATGACTTAAAACTTATTACACCAGGGTTTTCGATATCACAACTTGTCAAAACATTTACTAAAATCATCGGTACAAGGAATCATTCGTAAATATAAATCAACGTGCAGACATCTTATACGTTCAGGTATATCACATCCCATCTTTTATAGTAATATTCTATACAAAGCGCAAACATGTCGTCATTCATCTCAAACCCTAACCAATACCTTTGCACAGACAAAATCAGTTACTATACTGTTGACAGGTCATAAAAGATAGCATATTTTTAATAAATATTGAGACACTCATAGGGTCTTTTCATCGGAAATGAACATATTTATTCTAAAACCACTTGTTGGCATGATACGGATTATGTATTTTTCGTATATTTTATAATGGAATGAGAATTGACCCCTTACGGGAGGGATTGTGCTTGATTTTCATATCATGAAGACATAATCTTTCAATCAGTTAAATCAGTTTAATTGAGGTCTGGAGCTGGCATGTCAGTAACTGCTAGTAGTCCTTTTGATTATTGTCATTTTGCTTAGTTTCCTCTGTTACCTATTCTAATAACGGACTCAGACTAAGGTTTACTATGCGTATTGCTGTGTGTTTGTTTATTCCACATTGGCCAGAGGTATAGGGGGAGGGTTGAGATGTCACAAAACATTGTAAACTCGCCTCATTTTTGCGCCTGTTCCAAATCAGGAACCTCTGGCCTTTGTTAGACTTGTATGTGTTTTTTATTTTATTTTGGTTCATGTATATGTTTCGGAGTTTAGTGTGACGTCCATTTTCGCTGAATTAGTATACAATATTGTTTAGGACCAGCTGAAGCTAACCACCGGGTGGGGGATTTTTTGTTGAAGACCCATTGGCACCTTGGGCTGTTTTATTGCTCTTTGGTCGTTTTTTCTCTTTGACACATTCCCCGTTTCCATTCTCAATTGTATTCAAATTTTATTAAGCGATATTCACTGTTGTCGACAATACCATATACTAACTTTTAGATGTTTTTTTTCTTCATTGGAAAATATCAAATAATTTGTATTTGAAAGACAAAATAATTTGGTTTTGAAAAGAAATCGGTAACCATTCTCCTTGTTTGCGGTAAATACTCATATTTGCGAAGTTGCAGCTTTGATCTATTATTTGGTAATATGTTAAGAATAACCCCTTAATGTTGTTTGAAACTGGATATTTAAGAAAAGATTAGAAAACGTTTTGAAGATGACCCTGACATAAAATATATTTTGATGAATTTGTCTCAACCTTTTTCAATATACATGAACATGAACAATCTACTTAAGTTGCATTGTATATAGAAGAAAGTGCAGATTTGTTTTCAAACAATTCATCTGAATCAATTGCTGAATTTATCTATGACATTTAAAAAATATTGAAACTGTTCATACGCATTGGCTCCATATTGCATGTTCAAATTTTGAACTTTAAAATTAATGAATGAAAGCCGCGAGAATGAACATATGTTAATTATAGTAAGTTCTATTCTTCCAAGACATTTACAGTTATATGTCCTTACAATGACAAATGAATAAAAGAAGATGTGTATATTACAGAGACACTTGCGTAACAACATTCACCTACCAAAAAAACAAACACTCAAACACCATGGATTTGGAGCTGAATTAATGTCACAACTGATGTTTTATAACTCTTTATCTTAATTGAAGTGTGTAAACTTTTAAATGTCGTTATTAGGCTATTGCAGTTTTGTATTCTTTCCTTGTATGTCATTATAGTACTTAAGTAAACATGTTACCTTCTTATCTAATTTTTTTTATATTTAATAGTATTAAATTAATTATATATGTGAAGTACTTTTACTTTAAAAAGTGAACTACAGCATATCACCAAGGTTCGAATATTCCAATGTATATTTGTATTAGCTTAAAACATCTTATTATTTCTATTCATTTTTTGACTGCGACTTTGTTTTACACATACATATTATAGCTGTTGACAATAGAAAAGGAGAACTGACAATAGTCCAATTATTACAAGGAAATACAAGTTCAATAATTGGCTTTCAAATATTAGGCTTTGAGCGTTCTTGATGAAGGAAAATCAAGAAATTCGCAACGGACGCATTGACATTTAAAAAGTATCGCTTTACTTTTTTTCTTACTATACATAATGTTTGAAACAAAATTTAAGTTAAAAAAGAAAAATGATGTTAAAGTATGAATATAAGATGTGATATGATTGCCAATGAGAGAAATTTCCTCTACGTTACAAATATCGTAGATGTTAGCATATTGCTTGTTTTTGCAATATTATTTTGACAGCTTTAACTACATCATATCATATTTCAATTGCCTTGAGTGAGACCACTTTATTGAAATCTGCCCGCAATGAGATCATTTGTTATACTATAAGTGTGATACAACTCACCATGATAATGTTCGTGTATTTGTTTGTTGAGTTAAACGCCACATATAATTATAATGGTTATACCAAGGCGATCAGTTTTTGTTGGTGGAAGAACCTGGAGTAAACAGACAGAACAACCGACTTTCTGGAAAACTGGAAATCTGTCAATTTAAAATGAGATTCAAATCGAATACACATCACCATGACAATGTTTTATGTACACAAGTTTCTAACATAAACCACATTTATTTAACAGTTAAACAAACATGCGATTTATAGAGTTTAATGCCACGTTCAGTGATATTGGTTATACCATGGGTACTAGTTTTGTGTTGGTGGAGGAAGCTGAGTAAACAGCCAGAACAACCGACTTTCGCCTGGAAAACTGGCTATCTTTGTCAATTTAAAAGGGATTTCATTACTCATCACTATAAGGATGGAGTATATACACAAGTTATATACTTAATGCATATGTACAGATTCATCAAAATGCAATTTATAAAAACGATTTTGATATGCATTAATCTCGAATTGTTGGCCAATGCTTTTTTGTACTCATGTAATCATTTGTATGAAATATTCTTGTATACCTCTGTTGGAAAATACGAACATTGCATGCCGTTTATTTCAGTATTATGGTATTTTTACAGTATGGTGATACTGCCTTACACTTAGCTGTTAGTGGTAAACAGCTCGAAATAGTTCAGTTGTTATTGAAAAGAACAGATATAGATCAAAACAAAGGAAATAAGGTAAGAAATGACGTTCTTCACAGCAGTGTCCAATTTTGTTAAATCTTCCATCAAAACCAAAGAAGAAGAGAACTTAAAACATTATTATTAAAATATACACATTCCCCATGCCAAGACATACTTATACCCAAATCATTGAGATTGTTTTTGTGATATCCATATGACGTGACTCTGTACTTATGTATCCCGTCATACTTTGAACGACAAAAACATTTTTTTTATTTATATTACTTTTACTTTTAGGTCTTTTTTTTGTGATATCCATTTGACGTGACTCCGTACTTATGTATCCCGTCATACTTTGAATGACAAAATTATCTTATATCTACCTGTGTGCCGTCAAACGCGCGATTCTACGCCAGTACTTAAAACCTTCCATCCTTTATGAGTGGATTTTACATAGATAAATACAATCGTATAATAAAAAAGCAAAATGAGGATGTTAAATTTGATGTATGCCTTTTTGTGCTTCTTTTTTACATTTGTTTGTTTTTATATTGATTAAGATGATAACACATGTTGACTGATGTACCCCTATTTTTGACATTTTTACCTATTGTGTCTGTTTGTTTTGTTCACGCAACGTTGTCAATATAATGGAATTTGATGCGACTGTTATACAAGTGAGAGGTTTAGCTAGCTATAAAACCAGGTTCAATCCACCATTTTCTACATAAGAAAAAGCCTGTACCAAGTCAGGAATATGACAGTTGTTATCCATTCGTTTGATGTGTTTGAGCTTTTCATTTTGCCGTTTGATTAGGGACTTTCCTTTTTGAATTTTCCTCAGAGTTCAGTATTTTTGTGATTATAACTTTTTCTTAGTTTAGGTTTATTTTGTATTCCAATTGCACAGATACATTAAAGCAAGGATTTGTCATTCATGAAGGCATGCATATACAACCAATAATTATTTGAATAAAGTCTGAAAACGGGAATCCTTGATGACTGTAGATGTAGTATTATTGCAAAAAAATATTTACTCAGTTAATTAAATTCACCATGATGCCGATTATAATACATTCCATGCTGTATAATCAACTGTTTTTTAAACCCGAAGAAAACAAAATGTCGTTTTTCTTTGTATCATATAAAACAGCATATGATTGACCGAGTCTGATAAAATCAAGCAATTTTGCTAAATTTATTCTCAAATAAAAAAAATTAACCCATTAACCAATGATATATATATTTCAAAGTGTTCTATTTATCGAATGTTTGACCTAAATTGTTGTTGCTTTCCAGGAAATGAAATATGTTAGTCTGATGACAAAACTATATGACCTAGGTGATTTAATGTTGTACATCCTGAAAATATCATTTATATTACATAATTTTCACACCTGTTGAATTACTGCTAATTAATATCATAAAATCTAATTCTTATAAGGAAGGTTCTATTTTAGAATCAAAATTATAATACATTATATGTTGTATAAGCGAATGCTTTTTAAACCTGATTAGATTAGATTTTATTATATTTTTAGATTACCTCAGACTTTATTAAACGTCAGCAGCAAGTTGATGAACTAGGGTTATGTAAAAAAACGTCTCGTCCCTTTTCTAAAGAGAATCATCGGAAGATACCAAGACCTTGTTGATAAATATTCCGTATCTACTTCACAAATAATACATGATGGTCTTGAAGTATAGAATTTAGGTACTGACATTATTTTTCATCTTGATTACGTGATATATAGTTGATTGACTATTTTCCTGTCTAGATATGTTTTTTGGTGGAAAGACCTTAAATTATTCTCTAACAATTGGTTTTTTAAATTTTTGTTTTCTTCCGCCAATTTTTTTTCTTGCGCAGTATTGTTGTTTCAAACGTTGTCGCTTAGATATTTGGTATATGATATCAAACAGTTTATACGCTTTTAAATCTGACAATGTTTAACCGAACCATTTTACTTTGTAAGAGTTATCTCCCCAACACTGTTTTTCTTGTTCGGACTACTCCGTCGCAACCGTAAAAGATTAGGACAAATTTATTTTACCAACTTGCAAATATCCTAAGGATATGGAGAATAATTTTGACCTTAGAAATCCGGAGACTCCATATGTGAGTTATTTCCCCTTATGCATTTGATATAAGTGATATGTATTTGTAACCGGCAAACCATAAGTGATAAGTAAGTAAGTAAATTTTATTTAAAGTCGGCATATATATGTAGGACTCAAATCTAAGGTGGATTCCAGATCTATGGCAGATTCCTAATTTATGGTAAATATGACGTCCTGCCATCCACAATCTATGGCAGATTGTTAAGAATCCTAATCTATGGCAATTTTTTATTTTCCTATTCTATGGCGAATTTCTAGTTTTCAAATCTATGTCTGATTTTCTGCAAATGAAGGACCAGTCAGTACATATCTGACCAATGATTTCCAAGTTGCCTTAAACAAGTCGAAATGTCCAAAGGTAGCGAAAAAGCTGCTTTTAAGTAAAAGCCAGTATAAGAAAAACGGATTAGGAGTACAACTAGGAAGCATACCCATAAGCATTTGTGAAATGAACACAGACTTAAGGGGTGAAATGGTGTGCCCCGGAAGAATAAGCATTTCCTACTCAGTGCATGGTACCTGTTTGACCCTTCATTTAACCAAGTTCTTTAACAACCCAAAAAGCAGTTTGACATTTACCAAGTATTTATATGAGCGTTAATTAATCTTTTTTTAACTGATGACGATTTTAATTCAAAGTCCTGTAATGAACAATGACTTGCCTCAAACACGTGGCTTTCTTAAAAAATTCCTTCTTTCTCCAACAGTACAGTTTTATTAGTTTTTTTTGTTTCCAAATCTCAAGAAAGATTATTTGCTACAATAGTACAGGTAGTCACTGTTATATAGGTTATGTTACATGTAAAAGAAAAATTAAAGAGACCATAGGGATAAAAAAAATAACAAGAACACAGCATATCACAACGAAAAATTATGAAAGAAAAGCAAAATGCAAACCAAAATGCACAGTGAAAACTCGTAATTTTAAGGGACAACACGAGGAACATAAGAACAAGAAAACAAGCAAAGGAAACAAACACAAAACATAAACACTGAAAGCACTAAAAACATATTCGTTTGTGTGAAATTGCCTGCACCAGCGATTTTGCTGCTACGAATGACTATGGGTTTGTTCGCTAATATTCTTATTCAATCCGAATCCGATGATTTCATTTTCTCATTTGCAGGGATTTCCGTTAACGTAAACTCGGATTCTGAAATATAATTTAATTTATGAATTAGAGTCCTTGAAAACTGGCCTTTAATATTCTTCTATATAACAAAACCGTCATCGTTACGTGACGTTATTTAATTGTGACGGAAAATTACGTAATATCAAAATCTGCCATAGATTTGGAAAAAACAAAAAACTGCCATAGATTTATGATTTGTTTGGCGTTTGTGACGTCATATTTGCCATAGATTAGGAATTTGCCATAGATCTGGAACTCACCATAGACTTGAGTAATACATATATACATAATAACAGATAAAACATGAGCGCTGATGAGCTCTTTAACCGACTATCATATCAAAATCATACAGCTTCATGTAAATAATAATAAATAAAAATAAAAAAAAAATGCAAATATAATGAAAGCAAACTAATATTGATTATTGAATCTCCAAGGTCAATGGTTATGCGGCAAACACGTCTATGTGCATTGAATGAGGAAACCAGCAATCACTGAAATATCATAAACTACTAACAAACTAAAAAGCATAAATAAATAAATAAATTTAGCACGGTCATTTAATAGCAGCTATATAATAATGCAGACCAAAAGCAGAACAAAAGCCAAGAAAAAAAAAAGAAAAGAAAGACATTTCAGCTATGAGGCAGCACTGGATGGAAACGGCATGAACTGCTGTTGCATTTTTGACCTCCACACCAGGAATTTATATAATTCCTAAATTGTTCAAAAGAGATCATAGTTCTAGCCTCATTTGGAAGGTAATTCCATACTTGTGCTGCCTCAAATCTAAAAGATCTTTCACCATAACTCGAGGTTCTTGGTCTATGTCCCTCAGCAGTGTTCACATACCTGAAATTACATGAATTGTTTTTTATAACAACTAGATCTTGAATAAATAAAGGATCATTTTTTTATTAATTATTTTAAAGATATCCAAGGCAATTGAGCGTATTCTACTAGCGATGGAAGTTTTGAAATCTGCAGGAGTGTTTCGTACGACTTCTGATGGTCTTCATAAATGAAACAAAGCGATCGCTCTTGTAGTCTTTCTATTTTCATTGTATTTTGTTCCCCACAGAAATGACAAGTCAAAGGGCAGTAACTAAAATTTGACACAAGAAATGAGTAATAAATTTTAAGTTCACTCAGTTTGTTTAGGTGTTTCCCCACTTCCTTTCAAAACATTTAATTGCCTTGCAGCCTTTTTACAAATATGTGAAATATGTAAATTGAAGTTTAATTTGAAATCAATTGTAACTCCAAGTAGTTTTACCTCATCATTACATGATATAGAAATACCATCCAAATCAAACACAATCTTGTTATCATGTGTGTTTTGGCAAAAGAGATAGCTTGGAATTTCTCTGGGTTGGCCTGCATTTTAATTGAAGAAAACCGCTGTATTCAATAATTTCTGTCTTCCTCAAGAGCAGAAATTACATCTTATAAGGAATTTCCAGACTTTGACAATGTATTGTCATCAGCATAATTATATAAAGAACAAATCATTTATAAACATTTTAGATAGGATGGGTCCAAGGATGGAACCGTTTGGTACCCCTTTAAATATGTCAAGCATACCACTTACATTTTGGTTTACTTTCACACACTGTTTTTCCTTTGTTAATTAACTATATAACATATCAAGTGAGGATTTTGAAAGACCATTAGCTTTTAGTTTCAGTAGCAGTAAGTCATGGGGGAGACAGTCAAAAGCTTTTGACAAGTAAGGTATTTTTATTGGTCTAAGGCTTATTTTCAATCTTCAATCACTCTTAATAAAGTTGACTGATATTC